TGCTGATGGGTCATGTGGGGCTCATTACATTATCCTGCCCACATGTCTATGTTTTTGAAATTCGCCATAATAAGTGTAAATATATATTTGCTTACTCAAGACAGGAAGGAAGGACTGTCACTGGGTGTGATGTCAGGGAGGCTGGGCTGGAACATGGCCAGCACTAAAAATGTGGGACTGAGTAGAGAACTGCATTGTCCAATGCAGTAGCCACCAGCCACACGTGGCTATTGAGCACTGTGACATGGCTTGTCCTAACGGAGACACGCTGTAAGTGTAGAATCCATACCAATTTGAAGACTTGGTACAAAACAAGAATGTAAACTATCTCCTAGTTTCTTTGTATTGATTACATGTTGAAATGATATCATTTTGGATCTACTGTATTAAATATATTATTAAAATTAATTTCACCTGTTTCACAGATATTTATACACCCATGTTCACAGCAGCACTTTTCACAATAGCCAAAACATGGACGCAAACTAAGTGTCCATCCGTAGATGAATGGATAAATGCACATACAATAGAATATTATCCAGCCTTTAAAAAGGAGGGGAATTCTGACCTATGCTACAGTGTGGATGAACCCTGAGGACACTATGCTAAGTAATATAAGCCAGTCACTAAAGGACAACCATGATATGATTCTATTCATATGAGGTACTTAGAAATGGTCAAAATGGTAAATTTTGTGCTACATATATTTCATCACTGTTTAAATAATTAATTTCGCCTGCTTCTTTTTCATTTTGTGATAAGGCTACTAGAATATTTTAAATTACCTACATGGCTCACGTTGTATTTCTACTGGACCATGCTGGTATAAGACAAACACATCTTCAACCACAATATGAGAAGTCAGTGGGGTCCTCTAAAGGCTGACAAGGTTACCAGGTGGGCAAAGGTCCATGAAAGCAGGATGCAAGGATAAAAAATTTGGCACCATTCAGGGGCAAAATGTGAAATTTGGCAGGTGTGCAGTCAGTAGAGAGAAAGCCTCCATTGTATGTGCAGCTAGATTATAGATTTTTCCAAGGCTCCCTTTCAGGGATTCCATGCCCATCAAAAAATTGTGAGAACTCATCCTCCAAGGTTCTCTATACATAGGGCATAATTACTTATGTCGCTGTAAAGGAATGTTCCCTACAGTAAATATTGTAATATGTTGTCACATTTGGGTATATCCATCAGTTTCTTGTGAGATTGATTGGTTGGACTCAGTCCTGGAACCCATTTATCTGAGAGTGCCTATCAATCTGGAAATACCAGATCTGCCAAGTGGAAAGCCAGACCCTGCCCCCAGGGACCACTGCAGGCCATAACTGGGGGCCGCTATTCTCTAAAGCCAATCTAGATCAGTGGACAGCCAGTCCCTGACGGGAGGACTGTGCCTTAGTTGGCGGTGTACTTAGCACACTGCCTGGAACATAGGATAAGCTGAGAAAACATTAAAACTTTTCAGTACAGTGTGGATCCCCACAATGAACCCAGACAAGTTCCCCAATACAGGCCATGCAGCTGGCCCCCACCACACCCCTCCTCCATCTCTGGGGAAACAGAACCTGTCCCAAGTTCAGGTCATTCCATAGTTCTTGAGGCCACTGGCTGGATGATTTGGGGAGCAATTGCATCCCGACATCCTATCTGAGCGCTGACTCCTCCACCCAGCCCACTCAGCCTGAATGCTCCCCCTTCCTCCCTGAGGTCACCTCTTTGTCTCCCCTAAAAGTGGAATGGGGGTTGAGGTGAGGAGTCACTCACTCAAGGGTGCCAGCCCCCTGGCAGAGGTGCAAGGGGCGTTTCCCGTTCTGGTCAGGGATGTTGGGGTCGGCTCCCGCCATCAGCAGCACATGGACACAGGCAGCGTGGCCGGCAGCACAGGCCTCGTGCAGGGCGGTGCGGCCCTCGGGGGCACTGTCGGGCCTGGCCCGCCTCCTCAGCAGCAGCTGCAGAACTTCCGTGTGGCCCCGGCTGGCTGCCACATGCAGTGGAGTGGTCAGCTCCTCTTCGTATGTCAGAGACCAGAGTCCTAGGGAGAGAGGGGACATGGGCCTCAGACCCTGAGGGAGGCAGAGCGCTGCCAGGCAATGGGGAGGTTGGCAGAGGCCGGGAAGAGGGAGCCCAGGGCTCCATCCCAGCCTCCCCACGCCCACGCAGACCCCCAGGGCCCCTGGCCCGTACTCAGAGCTCGGATGTTGAAGCGGAAGTCCCTCCATCGCTCTGGGTCACTGGTATCAAAGACGGAATCCGGTGCCAGGCCCGTGCTGGAGTCAGCAAGGATGCGGGAGACAGAGCCCACGTCCCCTGCCAGCACTGCCTGCCACAAGGCCAGAGCAGGTCCCGAGGCCGTGCGGGTGACGATGGGTCCCGGGCCCGACTCCGGGTGCTCTGCGGGCCCTCTGCTGGGCTTCTCCACCAGCCTGGCGCAGAGCGCATGTCTGTCACCCAGGGGCTCTTCCTGTCCCCTGCATTCTTTTGGAGACCAGCTCATGAGGACAGAGTGTGAGCATATGAGAAAGGGGTTGCCGGGGAAGGAGCGGTGGGGCCAAAAGCAAAGACAGAAAAAGGAGGAACGCGGTGGAGGGAGAGGGTGTCTGTGTCCCTGAGCTGAGCCTGATCCGGCCACGAGGTTCCCCGGAGCTATTCTGGGCTCCGCATGACTTTGCTCCTGGGACAAGGTTTAGGCAAGCTTTGGGGTGAGGGAGAAGCTGCCAGGGGCTTCTTCATTTCCTCAAGCACTTGGTGCCTCTGTGCCTGACGCGGTCAGCCTAGCCAGCCCCCCGGGCCTCAGCCCCCGCCCCCACCGCCCCTTACCTCTCTGGTGGCTACTCCAGCGAGGCTCCGCAGCCCGGCTCTCCAGCAGCAGGTCAGCCGTGCTGTGCGGGGGGAACAGCTCCAGCAACCTTGACAGGTCTCCAGTGTATAGGGCGTTCTGCAGGGCCATGTCACGGCACAGCAGCGGCAATGCCCCGGGGGTCCCCCAGCCTCGGCAGGCAGGAGCTGAGGGGAGGCACCCCAGACGGTGTCCCCAGTGAGGAGGGGAGCTCCTTCTCCCAGGCATGGCCAGTTTCTGGGAGAGAGAGTCAAAGAAGCAGGACTCAGGGCAATGCCGGCAGGTGGGTGCGGGGCCCTCGCAGGCCCGGGGTGGGAGGGGCAGGAGAACCAAGCCATAAATAGCCCCTACTGTCCTAGCTGTCATTCCCAGGGAATGCGGCCTCAGGCTGACAGTGGGAGCTAGGAAAGCCTGGAGACTGAGGGACGGCGGAGCCTTCCGACGCTGAGCTTCACCCCGAGTTGTCCGCAGCAGGGTTGAAGGGACCACTCAGACGGTGGCATCAATCACAACTTCACAGGTAAAAGCAAAACGAGCCCAGAGGTGGGATGTGATTGGCCCCAGGTGTGACAACTTGTCGCAGAGCAGGGACTAGAAGTGGGTGGGGTGGGGCGCTCCAGCTGCCATTTCTTAGTCTCTTTACCTATCAGGTACCCCACTAAGCCGTCTCCAGCAGCTTGTGCTGTGATCCCAGAGGGAGGGGAGGTGGGTGCATATAATTTCTCCTACCCTCCCAAATGTCACCAATTATCCCCACGCCTTTACCCTCCCAAACCTAAGGAGGGGTTCACAGTAGTGACAAACGGCAGAGAAGGCCTCCTCATGAAGTACCCCTCCAGGGGTTCTTAGGAAGACAGACTCTACCCAGGGGAACAGGGCTCCCCGCAGGCAGCGATAGAATCCCCGCCACCCATCCTGGGGGCTGACTCCCCGCAGCCATCCTCGTGCTGACCCCCCATCTCCCTGGATGACCCCTGGACCTCCCGTCCCTGCCACGGTTAGAGGGGGTCTCAGCTTGAGAGTGGGAAGGAAGGAGACACTACCTATTCAGGGACATCACGATAATGAGGCCCCTTTCATTTGGGGAGATCACATGAAAAAGAGGAGAAAAACTCAAACCCAGCTGTTGGGCTCAGCTAAGCCTCTGCTGCCCACCACCAGCCCTAGGCTCCCTCCCGTCCCCGGGGTCTCACCACACCTGCCCCTCACTGCCTCTATGACCTAAGGTGGAACACGCCTTACCTTTCTTCACACACCCTTTGCTTCTTCTGGGAGAACCCCAGGGCTCCCAGCCCTTGGCGGCATGGTTGTCCTTGCTCCAGTTTCGTGACTCCAGCCCCCCACCCATCTCTTCTCTCCCCACAAGGGGGACCCACAGACGGATTTCCATCCAGGGACAGGAGCTGTGTCCCACTCAGCCCCCTGGGGCCAGGCTCTGGGTTAAAGGGTGGAGGGCAGAGCTTGGGCAGGTGGAAGGGGCGGGGGTAGTCTCCAGAGGAAAGAGGCGAAGGCCACTCAGAGAAGCCAACGGGTCCACCGACAGCCCCTGCTCCGGCCACGACACCTCCGTCTCCTCACACCCTTTCTCCTCCCCACCCCAGCACCTCCCTGACTTCCCAGACACCTTTGTAGGAATAATCCAGCCGGAGAGTAGAAGGGACCTTGGGGATTGGCTGGTCCAACCTCTCCTCACTTTACAGATGAGGACAGTGAGGCCCAGAGACAGGAAAGGACTATGCAGACCACACAGGGCGTCAGTGTCAACGGGGTGCTGGCCAGGGTCTGCTGACCCCCAGACGCCTGCTTTTCTCCTTTCCTCTCCTTCCGGAGACCTTCCTGCTCCTGCTCTCCCCGCTCCCTCTCGTCTTCTCTTCCTATTTCCCACCCTTATGTACCTCAAGGAGGAAAGGGGGTGGAAAGCCAGGAGATGAAGGCGGGTGGGTTCAGAGGACAGGGACCCGGGGTCAGAGCACTGGGAGGGGTGGGGTGAGAGGCGGAGGCTGGGCACGGGCAGGGGACACAGAACAAGGGGCAGAAGCACAGAGGTGAACAAAGAGGGTTGGTCCCCAAGCCATCGGGGTGTTTATGCCTCTGCTCGCTGGTCCCTTTGCCCTCGGAGTGCTGCCCAGTCCCGCTGCTACTGTCAGGCCCTCAGCCTCAGCCGTCACTTCCGTTGCTTCCTCTCCTTTGCCAGCCTGGCCGCCTCGGCCTCCTGGTCCTTGGCAAATTTCGCCATTTTCTTGCCCAGCGGGGTGTTGAAGTACCAGTCCTGGGTCAGAAGGGGGGGAGGTAAGTGGCCCTGACCTGATCTCCCCTCAACAGCCTTTTCTCCTTTCCTCCTGGTCAGCGTCCTGCTGGACCCCTGGTTTCTATTGCTCCCACCACACGCTCCAGGCCCCAGTGTCGGCCACTGTCGGGGTCAAGCCCTCCTGTCTCCGCCCTGCAGCCCTCTGTTCCTGTGCTCCCACGGCCATCCTACCACCCTGGGGGTGGCCACTGACTCAGAGGCGGGGACGTGGGTGGCAGCTGGTGCCAGAACCAGCTTCCAGGCGCCCACCCTCAAGGAAACCAGGTGGCTGCTGCTGCCCACATGCCCTGCGCTGTGGCCTCCTGTTCCCCTCCAGGCTGCATGAACTCCACGGGGGAGCAGAGAGAGCAGGCGAAGGTAGGCTGTGCACCTGGGGCTCCAGAGGGCCGACCCGCGACCCTCCCTCTGGGCTCCCCACCCTCAGCCGCACCTTCAGGGACTCCTCCTCCTCTCGGTACACCGGATCCAGCTTCGCCAGATGACCCAGGAACTCTGAGGCCACCAGGGGCCGCTTGGGCAACCATACGAGCCGCCGCTTGGTCAGCACGGATTGGATGGCTTTGAGAATGCGGCCAGCTGTGTAGCCTTCGGACACTTTGGCCAGGGCACTGATGTCCAGGCTCGGGGTCACCTGGACTCCCTGGGCCTCGAGCATATGCTTCCAGAGCACTGCAGGTATGGGGAAGACACGGGGCAGGGAGAGGCGGCGGATGCCACGCCTGGGTCTGAAACAAGCTGTATGCTTGTGGAGAGCGAGCGTCTCTATGTCCAACACCGCCACTCCTCCCAGGAAGGCAGGGATCGTCCGTCCCCACTCAACACAAGGAAATGAGACGCCAAGTACTCAGGTGGCCTGCCTGTGGCCACAGAACCGTGCCAGGACCCAGGCCACTGGGCCACGGGAGTAGCGGCGCTGCCAGAGCACCTGGCCGTGGAGGTACTGCTCCGAGCAGGGGTGGGGGATGGGAACAAGGGTGGGGAGGCTTTGGCAGGCGTGGTCCCTGGACCCCTTCTCTGGGCTGTCCCTACATCCCGGGCCTCACCGTAGCGGGAAGCGTAATCGGGGCGCGACATGATGACGACCCGCTCGTAGGCCTGGCACAGCCCCTTTCTCTCAGCCAGCTGGGGCCGCTCAGTGGTTCCTATGAGCATCACGCGGTCTCCGGGCTTCAGCAGCCGCAGGGCCTTGGTGAGGTCCTTCTTTATTCGCTTTGGGTCCATCTGCTCCGGGGAGGGAGGGGTGGTGGGTTCAGGACACAGTGACCTATCAGACGGGCTTCTAAGTTCTCGGGGCACCTTCTCAGCCTCACGTGGACCCTGAGAGGCAGGCTGCAGCAGCGGGGGAGGTTTGGAGCGGCCACGGGCTCATGCCGCCTGCCCACGCTCCCTCACCTCCTTCTCGTCTTTTGGGACCTTCTTATAGAAATTCTTCTCGGCATTCCCAATCCAGATCACAGAGGGCTGTAGGAGTCGAGCCACCTGGACAGGTCAGAGAATAAAAACCTGGCGTTAGACATCCCTGGGCAAGGCTCGCCTCCCCATCTGGTCCAAGCCAGGGTCAGGGCCAGCCTCGGGCAGTGGTGGCCTCGGAGCTCCGGCTTCTACTTCCCACATCCTGCCAACCTCACCTACCAGCCCTTTGCACACCCATCACACCTCATGTGAACAGTCCCTGCCGTCCCTGAGGAGTGGGGGTGGGGGTGCTTCATCTTAAGCCTCTTTTTCCTCCTCACTTCCACCCACCTGTCCCATCACTGGGCCTTCAGGTGTCCACAAGATCCTAGCAGGGCTTGGTAAGGACCTCACAGTTCCTGAAGTCACACCAACTAGGCAGATGTGTGACCAGCTGAGCATAAAGCCCACCCTGCTCTGCTGTCACAGTCTGAGAACTAGAAATGCCAAACCTTGAAGACGATGTGTACTATCATCTGCACCCCGGTCTTGCCAGGGTATTTGTCCTGCAGGTTGCCGGGTGACAGGTCGAACAGGTTGGCGCCGGTTTCCGTGCACACCGCGTTCACCAGCATCCTCTTCCCCGTGCCGGAGGGGCCCACCAGGAGGAGGGAGCGGATGTGGGGAGCCATGGCGTGTATTTCTGAGGAACCTGAGAGAGGAAACCAGGGCCAGAGGCAGACAGTGGGCCAGCAGGGGGCCCGGGGTGGGACGTTGTGTCAGGTGAGGCCCAAGGTAGGGGCTGGGTGGGATGAGGTTCAGGTCCTGCCCGCACTGCCTCCCCCAACACCTGAGCAGTCCCCAGGCAAGCAAGACAAGAGTGGCACCCTAGAGGACTTCAACGACTCAGCAATCGCAATGACAACACGTGGGTGTCAGGAGGGAGCCCTCTGCCCCTTCCACTGCCCTTTCTGTTTCCCACACCATCTGTTTTCACCCCTGCATTAAGAAGGGGTGCAACTAAAGGGCATGGGATCAACCCGCTTCAGAAAGACCCCAGTCTTCTGGGAATGGGACAGAGTATGAGACGTCACTTGGGATTGAGTAAGGGGCCGGAAGAGTCCACCACTGGTCCTGGCACCGGGGATTGGAGGCTCAGGGTGCACATGCCAGCCTCAGCCACCCTAAGCGTCCCTCCCACAGGGCGTCTCACCGAGCCGAAGGACCCCGTACAAGGCCATGTTCTGTCGTATGTCAAACAGGGAAGGCATGGGCAACTTCTTGGCCAAACTCAGAGTAGATCCAAGATAGAGGCAGTCACCTGGGGGACAGGTGGCCACCTGGTGAGTGGGACCCATTTGGGCAGGCCAGAAAAGAGAGCCATACAAGGAGAAGGGTCACTTCAGAGGGTGTCAGTCGGTCACCAGGAAGGCTGTGGCCGGACGCCTTGGGCACCGTTCCTCAGCCTGGGAGCTGACGCTGGGGTGGGGGGTGTCTCACCCACATAGTCTTTCAATGCCACGGTCTTGCTCTTCTTTAGAAAGCCCAAGATAACGAGCTCTTCAAACAGAGAGTCCACGGACCTGGCAGAAGGTGGTGCAGGGGGCCCCCGAGGACGAAGGGATATGGAGACAGAGATGAGTGCCACAGGCATGAGAAGAGGGGGCCCAGGGGCCCCCCTGCCCAACATCCTGTGGTTAAAAATATCAACAGAGCCACTGGACAACCAGCGTCAGAAGGCGCGGCACCAGCCCACTGGCCCAGAAGGCATTCTGCCCACAGTGGGTGCTCTGTGGGTGGAGGGGCTGTGAGAAGGGCCAGCGCCCTCTGAGATATTCCTTTCCTCAGTCTGCTCACGGCCCAAAGTTCCACCACCAGAAACCCAGTTGTTTAGGTGGGTTTCTCCCCAGAAACCCACATTTAAGGCATACATGCTCTGGGTGGGATGGCAGTGAAAGCAGCGAACATCAATGTGCGCATGACTCGCTCCACCAGAGGAGTAAAAAGGGACCACTGACAAGTTCTTCAACGCTTCAAAGCAGGAAGGCCAGGGGTGATAGCTCTGGAGGGGACACAGCTGATTAAGGCAAAGGTCAGAGGGAGGAACAGGGACCAGGGACCATTTAGAACAATACTCCACTCACATCTTTTTCTGCATCACCGTTTTCAAAGCACTTTCTTATGTTTCTATGTGATCCTCACAGCTATCTTGTGAGTTTGGCAGGGGAGGTACTTGGTTAATAAGGACAGGGAGTTGGAGAGGTAAGTGACTTTCCCAAGGTCACACAGCAACAGAACCAGGACCAGCAGCCAGATCTGTCCTGGGCCAGGGCGTGCTCCACTGCCCACAGTAAGGTGAAAGGTCTCCTACCTGGTTGAGGTCAGGTCTTTCTCCTTCTTCTTCTTCCCAGCTTTTTTCCCAGTGTTTTTCTGGTTGGAAACCGGCACACAGGACATTGTCCTCCGCTCCGTGCCTCGCCCACGGTGTGCCCTCCCCGGTGGGTCCCAGTCCAAACCCCTCATCTTGCCTTTGGAAGTTTCAAGAGTCTCCCCTCCTCCCTGTCCACAGCCAGGCGCAGGTTCTTTAGCTCTTGACGCATCAGCTCGTCCACCTAGGGAGACAGCAGAGAGTGTGGTGGGGCAACCAGCGGCTGGGGAGGTCAGGTGGGAGAGGTGAGGGCAGAGGCTGGGGGGTGGGGGCAGGAGCCTCAGGGCAGAGCCGGTGGAGCCCAGCGAGGGCAGCAGGTGGCCGCCAACCTGCCAGGTGTTTCTTTGGAGCTCTCAGCCTTGGTGGCTCTCCCTGGCCCCTGCCTCCATCCATGCTCCATCTGAACCCCCATCCTGCTCACGCATGAGCCCTGCTCTCCACTGGCAGCAGTGGGGCGAAGCCGTCAGCATGGGGTCAACCAGCTGTCCTTGGAAGCCCCAGACCCCACCCCTCAGAGTCTGTGTGACCTTGAGCAGTTGCATGACCTCTTAGGGTCAGTTTTCTCACACTTAACCTCAGGAAAATCACCGTGCTTCCCTCAGAGGTTGTTGAAAAGCTCACATGATCTAATGCTTCCAAGGACTTGACACGGGGGCTGGTAATTCGCAGAAGCTCTTTTAAGAGTTGGTGAGGATGATGGTGGGTGTGGCCTCGGCTCAGAGCCCCTCCCATTCCCTCACCCCCAGGCTACATCTCCACCCCCAACCCACGGAGAAAGAGGGCTGGGGGAGGAGGCAGAGGACAGCGGGGTCCGAGATGGACCAAGATGGACTACGTAGGGAAGGCAGTGCCTAGACCAGCGGTTCTCAACCTGTGGGTCGCGACCCCTTTGGAGGTCGAACGGCCCTTTCACAGGGGTCGCCGGGTACTCGTATGTGGGCGTATCTGCATGTGAGCCTGGAGACGGATAGAGGAGCGGTGTCTCAGTTCCTAAGACCATCGAAAATATGTGTTTTCCGATGGTCTTAGGCGACCCCTGTGAAAGGTTGAGAACCGCTGGCCTAGAGGATGCTGCAGAGAATGGACAGACGAGGGACGTGAGGAGGGAGCACCACAGGGACAGAGCCCGAAGCAGCTGGAGCCCTGCGGGAAGAGGGGGCCTGCCGCAAAGCCCTGAGCCAGCACACCCACCTGTGTCCGGATCTCCAGCTCCAACTCCTTCCTCTTCTCCACCCGGAGGGTCTCGGGGTCGAAACTCTGACGGGGGTGTAAGCTGTCATACGGGTTCTTCCACAGATCTGAGCGTGGAGAGACGGACAGATACGTGGAGGGCAGAGTCCCAGGTGTCCTCGCACACATGCTCACCACATGGGCCAGGAACCTCGCCCAGGCTGGTCCCCCTCTGCCCACCCAGCTCCCTGCCGCTGCTTCTACCGAGACCACAGACAGAGGGCTGATCCCCAGGCCTGCGACTGCGGGACTCAGACCTAAACCCATAACGCTGCCCACCCCTCTCCCTTTGGCATTTTCCTTTGGCCTACACACCCACACTGCCACCTCACGGTCTACGTGGCAGATGTCCACTTTCCCCAGGGCCAAGGGTCCCCCTAAGGCCCCACAAAGCCTGGACACCTTCCCAGGCTTCTGCCCTCTTACTTTTATACTCCTCATGTCCAGCATTAATCATGGGTATAAATTTGGACGGCAACACTTTCAGCATTTTATCTGCTTCCTAGAAGAGAAACATCCTGTGACTTGCACCCCTCACCTCCACCATCATCAGCTCTGACCCCAGCTCTCACCCAGACCAGCCTTCCCACCGGAAGCCCCTCAGACAAGTGGGCTCTCTCTGCCCGCTTGGTCCACACGTCCAAGAGCTGCCTTACCTCCACCTTCGTCTTTTTTTCCTTCCCTTTCTTCTTCTTCTCTTTTTTCTCCATTTCTTTTTCCTTATTTTTCTCTTGGTTCTTTTTCTTGGTTTCCTGGACCTGCATCTCCAGTTCCATTTTCACCTGTGACCAAGAATAAAAGACGTTTAAAAAAAGATCAAGGGGGTTTTACAGAAACAAGAGAACCCAGGTCCTGTGGCTGGGGTACACTGAGGGTCCTCAAAGCCTAGGGGAACTGGGGGTTGCAAATGGTGGAAAGTCCAGAGGTTTCCCTGGGGCCCAGGAAGAGGGGCACCGGGTGATGGGGTGTTCTAGTCAGAGCTGCTGCTCTCTCCTGGCCCACGGGGGTCTGGAGCCACAATGTCTCACCAGACATTTCCTCTCCCTGGCCAAGGATGCCTCTCCGGACGCAGGTTCCCTCCTCCTGCCCCTACAGTCTTGCTAACTACATGTATTTCCTCCAGACACCCCTGCCGCCATTAAGGCTGACCTCGCCCTCCACCCCACGGCCATCCTCAGCTTGTACTCCTCCTCTCTGTAACCTGAGACCCCATCAGCCACAGGAAGTCTCCCGCCCCCACCTCCAGGGTACCTGTGCTGGAGTCTTGTCTGCAAAGATCAGGTAGGATCCACCTAAAGACTCATCTGGATAATCAGGGAATCGGCCAGTAAGGGCACTAAGTGAACAGAAGATGGTCAGAGAGATGGACATGTGGGTGGATAGACGGATGGATGGATGGGTAGAGGAAGGGGTGGGAGGATGGGTGAATAGACGGAGAGAGAGGAAGATGGGCCAAAACAAAGGACCAGGGAAACTGAGGGAGAGAGGGAAGAAACAGACAGTTTCAGAATAGAAAGGACAGATGACTCGGGGGACATTCCCGGAGGCTTTTCCCATCTTATTCTGCCATTTCCCTTCCATCTGGGAAAATGGGAAGCCACGTGTGGAGATGGTCCTGTAGGTTGGGGGGCCCCAGGCTTAGACCACATGTGTTAGCGGTGTGTCCGGGAGATGGGGGTGAATGGAGAAAAGGCCGTGCTCTGGGTCGGAGGACAGGACAGGTGTGAGGACACAGGTGAGGAGGGAAAGGGGCTGAGGGTCGAGTCCGCTGAGGCTGGGGACACTGACTGGCACTCGATGAGCCACTGTCGGATCTGCTCCTGCATTTTCTCCTTCATGACGGGCCCCTCGGTCTCTCTGAGAGCGTCTTGGGTCTTCACCAGCGCCAGTTGGAACTCCTCTTCCTTCTCCATCTGGCGGCGCCTCCCAGCGTCCTCCCCGGGGCAGGCCTGGGACACGTCGCCCAAGGGTTCCCCCCGCTTGGGAGAGGGGAGCTGGGGAAGTGGGGCTCGGCCTCAGGCACGCACACACCTGCCCCCCACTCATCTCCGACACACGGCGCACGCGAGGCCTCGCATACACACCCACACGGAACAACGGGCATGCCTACATCAGGAGAAATTGTGTTTGGAGCCGAAACTCGTCTGTGTAAATTACTCTGATAATGAGTTTGCTGGATGCATCCGGGCTGGCCCCCCTGCTCCGCTCCCTCAGCACGCCCTCCCCTGCGAGCCTCCGGCCCCAGCCCCCACCCACACCCCCGCCCGGCTCCTGTGCTGGCAGCCGTGCTAGCAGCCACTTTCCCGCCTCATTGGCTCCCAAATGTATTTTAAATATCACTCCGCGCAGAGACAATTACTGAAAACGCTGAGCTCACACTGTTGATGGGCCGGGAGGCCAGGTTCATTCTTCACCCACCGCCATGCCAGGCACCCCTGCCCCTCCCTGCCAAGGCCTGGCGCTGGCCTCCTAGGGGTCCAGCTCCCCAGCCTCCCAGCGAGTCCCTGCCATCCATTCCCACACAGCAGCCCCGGGCCCTGCCTTCTTCTGATGTCCCCGAGGCTCCTGGAGCAGCCACCCCAGCCCTGGACGCCAATCCTTCTGGCCCCCGCAGTCCCCTCCCCAAGCCCCCTTATCAGCCAGGTCTCCACCGGCTCTGCCCACCGCAAAGCCCCTCCCAGGGTTCATGTCCCTCATCCCTGTCACCCTTCCATTCCTGTCAGTGGAGACCAGCTGGATGAAGCAAGGATCAGAGGGCAAAAGACAGATTCAGGGAGTTCGCCTTCTCTGCACCCCCACCCCCTCGCCCCCGGGTCTGCCCCTCTTCCCATCCACACTCCCCCACGTGCTCACTCATGTCGTTCACACCGCTCCCTGACCCCTGCACGCAGGGCAGAAGCGAGTCTGGGGCCCTCGGAGCAAATGAGGAGCCCATGGCTCCCAAACAACGCTCCAGTGTGATGGGGGTGCCCCATCCGAACTTGCCCCACCCCCGCGGTCCTCCCAGAGACTGTAAGAGCCTCCCTCTGGCCTTAAGCCCTCCTCCCACTCCTGGGCCCACCCCTGCAGCCTCTCTTCCAGCCAGAGGCACAGGTGTAGGGCCCCGAATGCTCGGATGTTCGGTGGTACTGTCCCTCACCCCACACCTACACCTGAGATCCTTCTCAGGGCTCTAGGAGTCGGAGGGATGGGGAAGGGACGTGGCTTAACAACCAAACCCTGAAGGGCCCCTCAGGGTCCCCTGGTGCCAGCCTGCCTTCCTACACCATGCCCACCACAACCCTGAGTGGCGGGCAGCAAGGGGCTGGACAGGGCTGTGCTCCGGGGCGGGGGCACAGAGGGACAAAGAGGAGGCGACGGCCCCAGGCACTGCCCAGCCCTGTGCTCCTCCCCCCCACCCCCAAGGCAAGAGGGACTCACCATACCGATGAACTCCATCTCCCTTTGCCGGTCCTGCTGAGTGCGTTTCCTCTGCAGGTAGCCTCTCCACACCTGGGGGGACACAGGGGCCCAGACACTCCCCACACTGCATTTCTGAGGGGATGAGGCTCTCAGGCTCAGCCCCAGGGAGGAACAGCAGACACTCTCTCCAGAAGGTCTGGTTAGGAAAGGTTTGGGGGGAAGGCGGGGGAGGCACGCAGGAGAGGCACCTCCAGGAGGGCAGCTGGTGGGCAACTGCCACCCTGAGCAACGCAGCCAGGAACAGGGCGGAGCAGAGATGTACCCAAGCAGTCCAGCTGCAAGGGCCCGGCGTTTCCTTCCTCATCTCCACCCTCGAATCTGCGGTATCTTTTGAGGCACTGAGTTCAAGCACCACCTTCTCCAAGAAGCACTCGCAGCTCTCATGTCTCAGAACTCCCTCAGCATTTGGAATAAATACTTGATTCCACCCAGGCCCATAGTCATCAGTGCTGTAGGGACTGTAGGTGGCGCTCCCCCTACATTTGTGACACGAGGAAACTGAGGCTGGAGACAGGACATGGCCTGTCCCAGGCCCAAAGTGCGTCACTGCAGAGCTGAGACTGGGGCTAGGTTTCCCGACTCCTTGCCCAGTGCTCTTCTCCCAGGTCGCCAGCCGCTCTCAGACCTGTGGACAGCCCTGTGCTAGCCGGTGGAGGGTAGGGCCCTGGACAGAGGGAGGCGGGGCCAGCACCTGCCAGGCAGTTTCTACTCCCTAACATCACCCAGTGAGCCGGCTCTTGTTGGGACTAGCGCAAGAAAGGCCCATGATAACGAAGTGCTTTCATTCAGTGGCCTTACTGGCCTTTTTCACAGTCTTAACAGTTGCTGGAATGATCATGTATTCTGTTCTGCTACACTGTTTTGGATCTTTCTCCCCTTGTTTTAATGATCCTTCTGTTTCTGGGGTTTTTATGGCCTCCCACTTCAAGTCCTTTTGGGGACAGAGATCCTGCACCTCTGTCATCAATTGCTGAGCCCGGCAGGCTTCCTGGAGGAGGTGATTACCCTGACCTTCCTCCTGGGCACTGGAGGGTTACCTTCTGTATGGTGATAGCTGCTTGGTCATGACTGAACTTGTACCACCCGCCCTCCATCATCTTCTGATTCCTCTCTTCCTCTCCCCGAATCTCTCGCATGAAGGTGGCTCGGAGCCGGCCCTGCCTGGCCCGCTCAGCCGTTTGCAGTAAGATTATGGCATCAGTGCGGTGCATTGCTGGAACGCCCTGGCCAGAGCAGAGACAAAGGAGCAGAAGAAGATGAGGGAGGGCTTGCATCCATGCAGCCTGCTGGGGGGTCAGCAACCAGAGGACATGCTGGAGGCGTGGCCCTCCCAGGGTATCTAGGTAACCAAGTCCTATCCCTCCATCTTGGTGCTGGACACAAAAGCAGCCAAAGATCACTCTGAGGTGGGTATAGGGCAGGGCAGGGCCTCTCTGCGTCCTGGAGAGTGGCATCTCTATTCCGGGAGCAGGGGTATGGGCGGAGTCTGGGCGAGTGTCTCCTTGCTTACCTCCTCGAAGGACAGCGACCCCATTCTGGACAGGATCTCTGCCAGCATCAGCTCTCGCTCCCTCAGAACACTGGACTGCTCCAGCACAAAGTATTTGGGGATTGGAACCTCCAGGTCTGCCTTTGGGGCAATATGGGGGGACGGAGGGTCAGGGGTCAAAAGCCGGGCCATCTGGACGGTCCATTGCCATTTTCAGCTGCCCACACAGACCCTGGTGCTGTTTTCCTCCATCCTAGGGCCCTGGGTTGGGAAATTTCTGGGTTATGATCCCACTGGCCGTCATGCCTCTCTCCCCTGCCCTGACCACGTGGCCGGAGTTGAATTCTGGAGGATCATGGTAGCTAATGGGCAGTGGTCCCAAACCTGGCTGTGCATGAGCATCAACTAGGAAGCTCTTAAAATGCAGACTCCTAGGCCCTCCCCGTACTCCCACATCAGAATGGCAGGGCCCAGAGAATCTGTTTGTTTCTTCAGCTCCACAGCTCAGTTTGATGTAGCTAGTCGGGGAAACGCTGAGACTGCCTTGGACGTGGAGCAGTGCACCATGAAATTGGGGGCCGACTGGCAGTGCACTGTAGCCCGTTGGTGCTTACAGATCACCGGAGGGTCTTGTTAAAAGGCAGCTGCAGGTTAGTAGGTTTGAGGTGCAGCCAGAGATTCTGCAGGCTCCTAGGTGACGCTGAAGCTGCTGGCCCACGGACCACACTTTGAGGAGCAAGCTCTAGAGGACTCATCACCAATGCCTCGTGGTTCCTGGATCTGCCCAGCCACGCTGTACCTCCAGCCTGACTCTCTAGCCACCCCCAGCTACTTGCATGCATCCACACACCTCCCACCTCAGTTCCTGAAGCCCTTCTCGGGAGACCAAACCTCATCCCCTGAGCTGACCTGCTTGCCCTCCTCCCCTTGCAGATGCCCCAACGCCAGGGATGTCCAAAAGAGGTCAAGTCCACCCCCACCTCCACCCCGCGCTGGCGTGGACATGGCTCCACGCAGGGCCTGCGCACCGGGGTGAGCGTGAGGTCCTGAAGCACGCGGTCCAGGCAGTGGGTCTCGCACAGGTCTACGCGCACCAGCTCCTCCTTGAGCTCCAGCACGCGGCCCGCCACGCTGTCCAGCAGGCGGCGCAGCAGCCGCCTCTTCTGCGGTTGCACCATCTGGTCATACAGGGTGTCGAACCGGCGCAGCAGCCCCAGGTAGCACAGGTAGAGCGACGAGAGCCTGTACTGGAAGGACTGCCGCTCCTGATTGGGCACCGGTTCAAGCAGGGGCTGCTCCCGGTCCAGCAGCTCTTGCAGGGTCCCGTGGGAGGAGTCCCAGAGGCGTTGGCAAGCCCTGGAGAGCGAACGCCGAACGCCGCGCCCTGAGCCTCCGAGGAGTGTGAACTCGGCGGGGTTCCAGAAGGTGTGACGTTAAGGTTGCTCATGGCTCCAAAGCGGAGCCCAGCGACGTGAGGGGTCTCAGGGGGAATGGGAGGGGAGTCACAGTGAGCACACTGGGGCTTGGTGTCACTAGGAGAGTGAAGAATGGACGTGGCCCTTAGGGGGCTCCTTATAAGGAAGAGGCCTTTTGGAGTCAGCAGGCAGTTGGTCCCTCCAGGGTGAGGGTGCAGCCCAGACAATGGCCTAGGGTGGTGGGCAGGAAGTGGGGGTGAGGGACCCATGTTGCGAACAGTCCCCTTCCCAGTGCAGAGCCCTGCTTTTGGAATTAATAACCCAAGGAAAGTCTGAAGGACCAAAGCTAACACGCAGGAACAGCTGCGTGGCTGTGTGAAAGCCTGGGGCCCCGCCAGGCCTGGCCCAGCACGGAACGCCCCCTGCCACCAGGCCTTCTCCCCACCCAGAGGCCCCAGCCTGACAGGACCCCAGAGGCCCTTTGCTCTTCCAGCCCTGGGGGCTCCACTCCAGCCCGACACTCACCCCTCAGACATGGTGCCCCCTCTTCACGCTGCCCTTCGTGAGCTGGTCATAGAATCCACAGAGCCTCTCTGGTCCCACCCTGCCTCCACCCCGTCTCCACCCCCCCAAAGCCAGAACAGCCCAGTTTTCAGAGTTCTGTCCCATTGTCTCAATGTTCTAAGGCTGTGAGGGGAGGGGGCCGCGGGGACAGGATTGGGGACACTTATCTCAGAGGACCTACTGGAGGGAGGGCAGGCTCCCTCGTAGCAAGCCTCGGAAGGTTAGGGCAGCGTGTGGGGTCAGCTGTGGCCCTCACTTTTCTTAGGAGGATTAAATAAAGAATGGTCCCTATTTGAAGTCACCCTGTAACTGTGAGGCTCTGGGTGAATATTAGTCGTGAAGCCATTAATTACTCCAAATACACTTCTCAGCTGGAGGAGCCCTATATTCCTGGATTCAGAGCCAGCATCCTCTACTCTGGTAGATGACTGTCCTGGAGGCTCAGGAGACCATCCTCCGGAAAATACAAAACATTACCTCCTGACTCTGGTCAGTGCGGGAAGGGGGGGGGGGCATCTTTTCAGCTCAGTGTTAAGTAGGGGCTTATGAATAAACACATAAATAAGGCACAGGGCAAAGGAAAGGGGGAGAAGGGAGACAGCAGCGAGGGGGAGCAAGAGACGAGGAGGTCTCAGGCATTAGTGCGCGAGTTACCCAAGGATCTTGTCAAAATGAGGCGGGCCCAAGACTCTGCATTCCTATCAAGCTCCCAGCCATGTAGACACAGCTGGTCTCTGAATTGCACCTTGAGTAGCAAGGTAGGACACCCATTGGGAGTTGGGAAGAGCGGAGACTTAAGGGGTCCCCTTCTAGCTGTGGGACCCACGTGCGGATAATTAGTTCTCATGTCAGGGCACCTCCAGGTGAGGCTTTTCATGAGAAGATGTGTGTGGAGTATGTAGGACGGCATGGCAACGGCAGCCGTAATGGCGGTGAGACTTCCCAGCACATGGAGTCCAAGGCGACAGCTTAGTGTATCCAGTTAGAGAGAACAGAGAGGATGTTGCACTAATTCACTAAGTCCCACCCCTTCACACACACACACACACACACACACACACACACCGGAGATTATGGGTAACATGCCCACAAGCTAGAGCAGAGGCTGAGTGAGAGAGAAAAGGCAAATGTGGTCAAATGTTAAGTGGTGAATCTAGCTGAAGGACATACAAGTGGTCACTGCACTTTCTTGCAATTTTTCTGTGAGTTTGAGATTTTTCAAAAAAAATACAATGGGGAAGAAAAGTTAGGAGTCTCAGAAACGTTCCCACCAATTTGTTCTGAAATGAAGGGGAAGAAAGTATTAGGGGGAAATAAAAACACCTTACAGATCCTAGGAGCCTATTGGGATCCGTTCCATTTTTGTGTCTTGAAGGATAGACTGCCCAGCCCCCATGCCAGGCACAGGACAAAAATATCNCCCTTCACACACACACACACACACACACACACACACACCGGAGATTATGGGTAACATGCCCACAAGCTAGAGCAGAGGCTGAGTGAGAGAGAAAAAGCAAATGTGGTCAAATGTTAAGTGGTGAATCTAGGTGAAGCACATACAAGTGGTCACTGCACTTTCTTGCAATTTTTCTGTGAGTTTGAGATTTTTCCAAAAAAATACAATGGGGAAGAAAAGTTAGGACTCTCAGAAACGTTCCCACCAATTTGTTCTGAAATGAAGGGGAAGAAAGTATTAGGGGGAAATAAAAAACACTTTACAGATCCTAGGAGCCTATTGGGATCCGTTCCATTTTTGTGTCTTGAAGGATAGACTGCCCAGCCCCCATGCCAGGCACAGGACAAAAATATCAGGCTGCCGGAAATGGCATCCCCAAACCATGGCCTGAAGAGTAATTAACATACGGGAGGTATTTCAGCCCCAGAGAGAGCGTGATGGAAACAGCTGGCAGCATACCCAGGATTCTAACCCAGCCCCCAGTCCTACCTCAGCTCACTACCGATTAGAACATTTATCATGCATCGCTCATGGGGTACATACAGAAAGCAGCTTTTTAAAAGTATGAATAAGTATTATTCCACCTTGGTGGCCATAAAAAGTGATGATATACCCTTGCCCCAACTCACACCTCACATGTCCATTTTTCAAATCATCACAGTGCACGGGAGCAGTTCACCCTTTTTATTTAAGTTCGGCCCGGGGTCACTTGGAGCTGGTGTACTTGGTGACGGCCTTGGTGCCCTCAGACACGGCGTGCTTGGCCAGCTCTCCGGGCAGCAGTAGACGCACGGCTGTCTGGACTTCCCGGGACGTCAGTGTGGTCCGGCCCGAGTACTGAGCCAGCCGGGCGGCCTCGTTAGCCAGCCGCTCAAACACATCATTTACAAATGAATTCATGATGCTCATGGCCTTAGAAGAGATGCCGATGTCAGGATGCACCTGGAGAAACAGCAGGACCGCTCTGTTAACGAGCAGGCTCTGCCTGAGGCCACAGCCCCTGCCCCAAGTTGGGGAGGCAGGAAGCTGGAGGACAGGATTGGAAGGCCGCCTTACCAGCCTCTTCCCAGGGGCCAAGAGACATGGAAATAGGGATTCATTTTCATACTCCTAGATCCAAGTGGAAAAAGAGAAAGTTTCTCCCAACCACAAATGGCAACACGATCAAGTTCCTGTGTAAGCACATGTGAGCATCTGTCTTTGACAAACGGAATCAGTTACACAGCATTTTGCTTTTTTCATTGAGTGCATTTGCATCGTGTTCCATAGTGTGGAAGAATTGGCTTGTATCACCATTCCTCTCTTAATGGACCTTCAGGGATTTTGTCTGTTTTCTTGCTTTTAGATTGTGTTATAGTAAATACACATCTTTGAACATTTGTGTGAGTATAAGGAAGGTTATTCCTAGAAGCGTGCCCTTAACCTGGTAGATTGTTACCAAATTACTTGCCAGAGAGCACACTCGTAAGACACAGTCTCAGCCCCAGACTAGGAGTTAGGGGACCTGGGTTCTGTGGCAGGACCTTGAATCACTATCACCTCAAATAAGTCACGTTCCTTGGCCTCAGTTTCCTCTCCTGTCACAAGCTTGGTGATCTCTAGTAAAACAAATGGTAGGGACCCCCTAATAATCCTAAAATGTGAGTAGGCAGACATTAAGTGTTTCTTGGCAACGTGGGAGATGTGACTCCCCGATGACACACATCAAGCCAATGGTGGAGACAAAACTAGACGCCTCTGGTCTCCACTGGCCGCAGGAAATCTGAGCCCGTAAAAGGCTGGTTTAGCCTAAACCCCTCGTGTTGTCATCACATCCCGTTCTCCTCAGGGTTGCGGGGTGACACAGTGGCTCCCCCCATCCGCCCACTGACAAGAGTTTTGCAGTGAGGGGTAACTCGCTCAGCAGCTCTCCTCTGCAAGGCCAGTCCTGGTCCCCCCTTCCCTCGCAATGTTTGAGCCCCAACGTTAGGCTAAGCTGAAGGTCTCACAAATACCCACTCCCACCCTATTTTCTTCAGGACACTGGAGTCTGTCCTCTGGTGCTGCCCTTTTGGCCAATCCACCCCACCCCACCAACATTCCCAGAGATCAGGTTGCCAGGCCACTAAAACTGCTAAGCAGCGGTTCTCAGCCTGTGGGTCGCGACCCCTTTGGGGGTCGAACGACCCTTTCACAGGGGTCGCCGGATACTCGTATGTGGGCGTATCTGCATGTGGGCCTGGAGACGGATAGAGGAGAGGTGTCTCGGTTCCTAAGACCATAGAAAATATGTGTTTTCCGATGGTCTTAGGTGACCCCTGTGAAAGGCTGAGAACGGCTGTGCTAATGGGATTCAGACTGGAGACAGGCTCCACCTCTAGGATCCAATCTAATTGGGGGGTGGAGGGCGGAGTGAGAATCTTAGGCAGATGGGAGAGAGCTGGGCAGGCAACAAAGCTACCCTGCCTCCTCTTGGCCCCGGCTCCGGCTCCGCCGAGCAGGGCACAGGCTTTACAGCCAGGGCTGCCTTTGATCCTCCAGACACACTGGGGGCTGGGTACCCATTGGTGCCCCAAAATGTCTGTCAGCGTGCAAGTCTCAGGAGTAGGTGCTTCTCATAGGTGCACTGGTAGGCTGCCTGGATAGAGGGCACCTGTGGGTTAGGGGGTGGGACCGGCAGGAATTATTCAAGGGGCTCAGCCAGAGCTAAGGCGGCCTGACCTCTGTGGCTGTCAGGCCACGTGACTCAGCAACTCACTTAGTCTGCATGGACGTCGGGTTCCTCGTCTGTAAGGGAGACTGACCCCTGAGCCCCTCAGAGACTGAGGACCACCTGTCTGAAAGGCCTTCCCTAAGACGTCCGTTCACATGGATTGTTCTGGCTCCAGCCACCGCTAACTAGCACTTCTCATTTGCACCATAATGCGTTTGGCATGTGATCACCCGCGTCTTCCCTATGAATTATGTCCCACCCAGCGTTCCACATAATCGTCCTGTCCTAAAGCCCTGTAAGGGAGCATGCTTTCAATGTCCCCTGCACGTCACAGGTGCACAACAGATGCTAAGAGGGGTAGGGACCCCGGAGATCAAGTGCGATGATGGCGTGAGGCCACTCGCCACCATGCCAGCACTAAACTGAGTCCCGACTCAGTCCATTCATTCTCCGCTCACCTGCTTCAGCACTTTGTAAATATACATTGAGTAGGTTTCTTTGCGCCGGCTACGCTTCCGGGACTTCTTGTCCCCGGAGCCACGGCCCCTGCGGCTCCCAGACGCCTGCTGCTGTCCACGCACCGCGCTCATCCTCCTCCTCACAGCTGCCTCCCACCCCTTGGGGCTACTTTTATGAAGTTAGCAGCAGCCGGGCCAGCTGGGGATGGGGACCAGCACCTGGGATGGAGGGGAGGGGCTTGGCTCCACCCTATCCAGAACACGTTCTGTACAAATCTTTTTCAAGACTGATTGCTCTCCCCTCTCCCTCAGTGGTTTCCTGTCTCTGAATAAGAAACCCTCCACCAGCCCCCACACCATCTCCCAGTGTATTACACACTTGTTCACACCGACAAACCTTGCCACACAATCACCCAGCACCCACGGTGCTCTGTATGGCTCAGAGCTGGGGAGAGCTGGGACACAGGAAGCCCCCCCCCACACACACACACCCCAGAGCCCTGCAGTACAGCCGAAGAGACAGGACAGGTTCACGTGACACAATTAGGGAAGAGTCCAAGGGCTAGTGTGTGGTGGGGACAGAGTTCAGAAGTCAGCGAGGGCTACAGTAGCCAGAGGCGGCTTCATGGAACAAACGGGGATGGGAAACTGGTTTTGTACAAAGGGTACAATTTAACTGGAGAGGAGGGAAATGTAACCGGGAAGTGAAAGCTAAACGGTGTGAATATCAGAGTGGAGTCCATGTGTCAGTGCCGTGAGGCTTAGACTGAGGTGGCAGGTGGACCAGATGCCAAGCCTAGACTAGGTGTAGGCACCCACACACCACAGCTGGGAGGCACTGCAGGGTGGTGGTGGGGGTGTTCGGAGGACTGGAGGAGCCAGAGGAGAGAAACACTGGGTGCTCCCATTAAAGCAGAGGAAGTGGGGTCCCTGTGGAAGTTAGCTGCAAACCAAGGGAAGAAAGAGACGGCCGTTAAATGGCGTTGTCTTACTCTGCCCCTATGAGTGAGCCAGTTTTCAGGTCGGTGAATGCTGGGATTAAAGAAATCTGGAGCAACACGAAAACCATAGGCTGGGGGAAAGGTTCTTTTGGAGTCAGGAAGAGGTGGGAAGCACGGCGAAGACAAGCATCACCTGTCAGTGGGTGAAGGCAAACCTGAGCAGTCACCCCACAGGGCACGCGCCCCTTCACTCAGTTCCCAACATCCCGACACATCTTACACGCTAAGGTTTAAGAGGACCAGGAGGGCAATTCTTAACCCAAAGCAAGGCACTGCTAATTTGGGCATTTGTAGAAATATGTATTTTGCGGCTTTTTAAGCAGTCTTAACATTTTTGAGATTGGTTTTTGTTTTGGACAGAGCAGCCGCCTACCTACTTCCACGTCTCCGGTTGTGAAGCCCTCCCGCCCATTAGCACCTCAGGTACACGACACACAGACCCAATGGCCTTGAACGGGAGTTCTTAACATAGCCCAGCGCCCCCTCTGCTGAAGTAGCAGCAGCTCCCACCTATCTCCATTCTCATTATCCCCACAGCTCTCAATGCCCTTCTACCCCAAATCCAAGTCTCTGGATACTCCGACGGACGGAGGCTATTTTGCTCCGACCCCACTTAGGGCGCAAAGCAGCAAAACCAGGGTCAGCAGGCGGGGTAGGAGTCCTAGCCCCTGAGGCGGCCTCGGCGTCTGGGGCTCAGCTACAGCTCCCACCTGACGCTTACTGCCCTGCTCTTGGCCTTCATGGCCACCTGAGAAGATCCTTCTCACCTTTCAAGTTAGAGCACCAGCCCCGCCTTTCTGGAAAACATCCCTCCCTTTCATATCCTTCTGCGGATCCTACCACTTAAGTCACAATTCAGCTTCTGATTTATGCCACCTTGTTCTCTAGCCTTGTTGGCTTTCCCACTAGATCACGAGCTCCTTGAGGGTGTAGACACCACCCGGGACTTTTGTTTAGTCGTAGATGTACTATAACGAGCACTGAAACATCATGGCTGTGTATGTTTTCCTACAAGGATGGCTGCTGAGGTTTCAGAGATGGAGTGAGGAATCCGTGTCAGCAGGGATGGCCACAGGTGGGACAAAGCTGGAAGTGCCACTCAGATCCAGACGGGCTATGCAGAGCACTGGGCTGGCGGTAAATTAGATGGTACTAGTGACAGTGAAGGCTGTAAGCAGGTAAAATAATGAAACTCCCTGTCTCCTGCCACAACAGTGGTTTGCAAGCTTCAGTGTGAAAAAACAGCCCCCCAAGCTTTTCTGCACCTCTCCATCTCACCAAATGGAATGCGTAACTCCAGAGCTCAGGAAGCTGCATTTTTAACGAGTGTCCCAAGTGCTGTGACACGAGAGCTTCACCCCACTCTGAAAAACATGTTCCAGAAGACCGGTTCTCAAAGCGGGGCTCCCAGGCCAGCAACATCAGCATCACCTGGGAACTTGTTAGAAATGTTAATCCTTGGTCTTGGCCCAGACCTACTGAACCAGAAACTCTGAGGCAAGACCTAGCCACCTGTAATCTAACGAGTCCTCCATGGTTCTGATGACATTAAAGTTTGTGCACCACTGGCCTAAGAAAAGGCACGATTTCAAATCGGCAAGAGACTGAGGGGTCTCCGGGATCCTCCCGGGGAGGACCAGTCTTCACCTGCATCCATCGCACCGACTTCTGCCCCAACGCTTGCTGAGGGGAAATGGATGCCGGCACTGCAGGGCGGAGGGGAGCACAGGGCCCAGCGAGCCCAGAAGGAAGGTTGGGACCATGGCTTCTTCTTTCTTTATTGGACGCTTTGTAGATGTCACGCAAGTCTAAAAGTTACACTGTTAAATACTTATTTAAAAACCGATCAGGACGAAGGCCCTGATCCAGAGCTCCAAACCAGAAGCAGAAAGGAATGGGGACGGTGGGCTGGGGGGTATTCCTCCAACATCACCAAAACCCAGAAAACCAGGATCCTAAGCTCCTTTACGGGTCACCAGGGTGCGGTCCCTTGGGCTGACCCTCGGTGCCTCTGGCTGCATCACTCGGGGTCAGGAACCAGCAAGGGGCTGGAGGGAACAGCCAGCTGAGTCCAGACATGGACGAAAGTAACTGGAAGGACAGGGAACGGACAGGTACTGTCCAGCTGTAGAGAGGGTCACAGAGTGCAGCTAAGGCAGGTGGGGGCAGGGGAGGGGCTGGGGAGTGGTATTGCAGCAATGCAGGAGTGCGGCCCCAGGGGCTCACACATTGTGGGTCTTCCTGGTGAGCTGGGGCTCCTCGCCCACCAGCTTGGACTTGAGGTGCTCCTTGTAGGCCAGGATGTCTCCAGGCCACTTGGTGATTGTCTGCTTCTCACAGACCCAGATTTCTTGCGCAACCTAGAAAGCAAATGCGAGATTTAATAACCCTGGCCAGCACCTCCCCACCCCGACCCAGGAGACTGTTCTCAGGGATTCCAGGAAGAAAGCGCCACAGCCTCTCCCAGCCCCCTCACCAGCCCCACATCCAGCTCACGGTTGGTTTCACTACCTCGCCTGGTTTCACTACCTCGCCGTTCTTTGGAATGGCCTAAGCCAAGGGGACTGTACCAGCAGGTCTGGAGCCTCTCAAGCTGGGACCTGCTGTGTCATTCTGGTTCCCAGTTCCCAGCCGGGCCTAGGTCTGTTCAGAAGCTTCACTCTCAGCTCCACCCCACCTTCCCCAAAGCTTCAGAGAAGTGACCGACAGCTTTTTCATCAGACACTGGGGGTAGCAGCCCTCTGTCTAATCAAAATCTTCCTTAGTACAATACCATCTCTAGGCTGACGAATCTTGGGACAGGAGTAAAAGCAACCCATTCTCTACCCGACGCCCTCTCCAATTTGGGCCAACAACGCCAAATAGGCTAACACCCCCAAATAGCTTCTGAAGAAATGAAGCACTTCTGTTAAGGCTAAGTTTGCCAAAGATCAGGTCCTCGCCACCCCGTCTATTCCCCGAGCCCTTTTCCAAATCCAACAGACATATGTGTTCAGTGTCCGCTATGTGCCACGACTGTGTTCCATGCAGCCTTCTCCCAGCTGCCTGCCCTCTGCGAGGCCTCCCCCCAGCCAGGAGCCTCACCTGCTGAATGAGTCTGAAGTCATGACTGACCAGCATCATACCACCCTCAAACTCATTGATGGCATCTGCCAGGGCGTCGATGGTCTCGATATCCAGGTGATTGGTGGGCTCATCCAGGAAGAGCATGTGGGGGTTCTGCCAGGCCAGCCAGGCCAGACACACTCGGCACTTCTGCCCATCAGACAGGTTCCGGATGGGGCTCACCTGAGTGGAGCCGTAACAGTTATGTAACTTGGTGTTACCCCCACACACGCCTCTCCCCCCGGCTCCTCCATGAATATTATAGCCGTTTTACAAAAAGTGGCGTCAGGAAGATCCAAGATCACACAGCAAGATGGTGACACAGCCGTCAGTCTCTCCAGGTCTGAACAGCATGCATCTGGAAGCCAGAAGCCCTGGCCAGTACCAAGGCCATAACTCCCATGCGATCTCAGCACTTAAATCTTAACGCATCAGAGCAATCCTGGGGACCCTTACTCCAGATCTGAATCCAGGAGCTTGTTTTCTAGGTTTAATTTCTCTCGCCCTCAAGTATTATGGCTCATCCTGCTGTCTGGGGGCAAAGGCATGTCAGAGACTGGCAGCCGGCCCCTGCCCGTCCCTTAGAAAGACCTAAGTACTCTGACGCATAATACCCTAGGGCAAAGGCAAGGCAGCAGGCAGTCTCAGGGGCTAGAATCAGATGAGGAGGTCTGGAACAGCTCCCACCCCCGGGGGGCCAGGACAGCAGTGTCCTCTGAGCACCCCGCCAGCCCCCCGGCTCTCTGGCCTCCTTCCCCACACACCCCTCCACTGACCTGCTGTTTCCCAGTGAGACCGTATCGCCCAATGATCTTCCTCATTTCTTCCTTCTCCTTGATCTCTGGGTAGCACTTCATCATGTACTCCAGAGGCGAGAGGTCTAAATCCAGCTGCTCTTGTAAGTGCTACAGGAAAAAGGAGCCCACCAGGTGTGACGACTGCCCATTTCAAAAGGAACCCCGCTGGGTTACCTGCTGAGGACTCTCTACCCTCTACCCAGGCGCCTGCTCTGGGTTCCGGCAGCAGCAGCCAGGAGCCCACTTGGGCACATGCAGCCCCTTCCCACACCCCGGGGACCTCCCCCACCTCAAGCCCAGGCTTGTACCTGATGATAACGCCCTATCTTGACGTGAGAGTGTTTTCGGATCATCCCATCTGTGGGCAGCAGCTAGAAAGACAGGAGTAGTAAATGAAAAGATCAGCACACAAGAAATGAAACAGACAGAGCAGGGACACGGACCTACGTTCACACTGAACAAGACTCATACAACGTCCTAAACAGATCCTACAGCATCCCTCACCGACGGCCATCCTGGCCCTTGAGACGCATTTAGGAGGATATACTGAGACATGATCTCAACACATCTATTCGGCGGCTACAAAACGTCTACCACAGAACACACTACACTGTAGAACGAGGACTTGGACGTAGGCACGACATATGCTTTCTAAAACAAAGATCTCTCTCTAAAGGCACAGATGTTCCTGAAGTGCTCTGACTGAAAACAGGAAACTGCTGAGACACACACATGTGCTCGCTCACTCTCACACTCACACACAGACCCTCCCCCCTTTTCCTCCCCCCTTCTCTGAGAAAACAGCCCTAAACCTCAGCACTGCCAGTGACAACACTCTCCACCCCAGGAGATAGCTCACTCTCACCACCAAGGCGCTCAGGCCCTGCCAGGGTAGCCGCCCGGCACACCTCTGGTCCCCCAGACGCTGTGACCACCTACCGCGGAAGCCCCACGGGGCACCGTACCTCTCCAGTTAGCAGCTTCAGAAGAGTTGACTTCCCTGCTCCGTTGGGCCCCACCAGCGCCACCCGTGTGTCAAGATCGATACCAAATTCTAGGTTGTTGTAGATGCAAGGCTGAGGTGGGGAGAGAGAGATGGACATGAGGCTAGGGTACCGATCAATCTGGCTGGAGGGCCAACCCCGCAGACTCCCTGGTCACCAGCAGAGGAGGTGGGAGTGCAGAGGATGGGGGCAGCTCTGGTGGCAGACTCCAACCCATTGCCTCCACCCGCCAGCCCAGCTGAGCACTTCCCCCAAGTACTGGAAGAGGGGACCACTCTGAGTCCCTGGATGAGGCACCCCAGCTGCCATGCCTGAAAACCTCCCCCCACCTCGTGACTTAGTAGGTGTGCTCAGCACAGAACAGGGGACTCTCCCAGCCAGCTGATACCTTGTAAACTGCATCCTGGCCTCCCAGCCGAACATGTACTCACCCCATCTTTTGTATACTTGAAGCTCACATTCTGCACCATAATGACGGGCGGCGGGATCTTGCCACATGGTGGGAAATAAAATGACAGGGTCTAGGAAGAAGAGAGGGGACTTATTAAGTCAGGTCTTCTCTTAATCACCTCACTTTAGGCCACCTCGCTCCACCCCATCGGACCCCACCTTGTCGCTCACGACCCTCTCTGTCAGTCCTGACGCCATCATCTTCTGCAGCGTCTTCTCCTTGCTCTGGGCCTGCCGGGCCAGCTTAGCACTGCCATGACCAAACCTAGCAATGTAGTTCTGAAAGAGACCAGAGGGGGATTGGCGTATGGGCCAGCGCCAAACGACTCATCGTAAACGGACGGTAGGAACTTACGTCACTTCCTCCAGGCCTCTCCAACACCCCTAAACCCCCCCAAACCCTCACCCCACCCTCCGGGAGAACATGAGCTCGGCTCTCCAATCGCCCCACCTTCATGTGTGCGATCTGATCTTGCTCCCAGTGAAACCTCTTCATCTGGTTCTCCTCCAGCTCCAGCCGTGTCTTCACATACTGATCGTAATTACCCTGCAGGGAAAGGCGCCAGGTGAGGTGGGCAGCCCGAGCCTGGGCCCTGGGTCCTCACCCATGGTTTAGGGGGTGCGGGATGGGCCCTGGCTAGAAGACAGTGCAGGAGGGAAAGAGGAGGTGCGTGAAAAATGCATCTCCAGACCTGAAGTCTGTCAAGCTGTGTGCCTCTCAGTTAGCTTAGCCAGAGCAGGCTCCAGATCAAATCCTCGCGTCAGCCATAGGACACCCACAGCACTGGGAGTGGCCCTGAAAACCAGTCATACACTATCACGAGGCTCACAGCTTTCCAAGCGCACCTCCTACTACTCCCCAAACCTAGAGGCTGAAGCCCCACGCAGGTGACAACAACTGCCCCTACGAGGGAAGACATCAGACCAATCAGATTTAAGACCTGACAAACCCTGCCCAATTGGACTGCCACTATTTTCTATCTGCAAAATACTGGACTCAATCTAAATGTCAAAAAAGGTCTGACAAAAAAGGTACAGGATGGCCACACAATGAAATACCATGCAGCCACGAAAATGAATGAGGTAGATTTATATATACTCATATGGAAAGCAGTCCAAGATACACTAACTTTCTAAAAAGCAACCTATAGAAGAAAATGGTTAAGATTACAACTGTTATACGTATACAGGAAATTTTCTACAAATGCTTGCAAGAACACAGGAAATTTCTGGAAGGCTATATAAGAAACTATTAATGCTCCTGTGGCAGGTATAATTATGAACGAAGAGGACTCCTATTTTTCACTTTTTAATATGTTTTTTTGAAATGCAGAATATGACAAGGTACAAAAGGAGGCTGTGGAGATCCTGACTTCCGTTCTTCGTGGGAGAAGGGGT